ATGTGTACAGCTGAATATACAATGGCGTCTTATTTTGTTTACAAGCGACAGATTCCTTTATTTTTGTATCGCTGCATTTGTCATCAAAATAAAACCATGCGCGGGGTTAAGAGTGAGGCAATAGATTATACATTTAGCCTGACGGTAGTGAAGTAAGAGAAAGGACACAAGAAAAGATGAAAACACAGGCACTGAAAATGTGTGAGATGTCATGGGACATCGTCTGCTTGTGCAAGTCATGTCCATACTGTGATCTCACACATCTCAGTAGCGTTCGGAGAGCTCTTCCGGTGCTATGCCCATGCTGTATTTAAGCGTTTTGTAATTTATAATAATCGTTACTTCGAATATTTCCAAGCATTGAATTTTGATAACCTTGTCGAATCAAAGTTTCAACTTTGCAATAATTGAAATAAATTTAGTTTTTAAAATCAATGAATATCAACTTTAAGATAAATTGCCGTGTGCACGAGGACATGTAATACAGAGCATATATAGGCAAAAACATGATTACACACAATTCATCACAGCTCTTTGGGATGCACCTAGACCCCCAATTGTTCTTTTATTTTGATTATATGAGTCGGAGATATGATTTCATTTCTCATTTGGCCATTAAGTACATTTTAACGTCATCATAATGGCCTTGGAAGTCAAAATACGAATTTGCATATTATGACGTCGACATATTTACAGAAAATGATTGTATCTCTGCAAATATTGATCAATTTTCTTCTAAATTTTGATACGTTGTAGCTGAGACAATTCTTCACAAGATTATTACCAATATCTATTCATTTTGATGACGTCATTAGATTTTTTGCTTAATATGCGTCTTATGCCTATGGAAGGTGAATGATACTACATTCCAGTCTAGACTTGTTCATTATGTTGCGTATGTAGTGCGTCGAAATATCAGTTCAATGATTGGTAGGCTCTGCAATCAGGCGAAAATTTGAGCTTGTTTAGTAAATTAATCATATAACAATTGTCTATCGAATTCATGAAGGGGGCGCTATACCACTTTTAATCATTTTCATCGTCATTTAAAACAAATAAATCATCATCATCAATATCTTTATTATCGTATTTATGAATATTATCATTAGATCATCATCGGCACACTTTCATGATACAAAAATAGCATACGGTATCACCTAATTCGTCAAAGTGACGAATTAAAGTCTAGTTATAATTGTTAATCATATCATTATGATCATCTGTATTATCAGCATATTCTACAATGGCAGTAGTATAGTATAGTCATGTAGAAGTAGTCATGTAGAAGTAGGCCTAGTAGTAGAGGTATCATTCTGATCCTTATTATCCTGATTATCTTTTGCAATACGTCTATATAGACGATAAACTCACGACAATTTACAATTGTCATGAATCATTGTCTTTAAGCTTACCATTAAATGCATCTGGTTCGAATTTTGCTCAGGTATTTGGTACGCGATGATTTAAATGGTAGAAATGAACTTGTGTCCTATTCATTCTAGTCTTATTCATTTGCATTATGTTTTATTCATTCAAGTTCTAATGTTTCTGACTGTTTTAAGACAATATTTTTTTGTCGATCATAGTTCTATGTAGCTTGATATCTCACGGTAATTTTGAGAGAAAAGCAATGCAAGCAATGATTTCTGAATTGTAGCGACAATCGTGTTCGCCTTTGCTGTCCTTCAATAATATTTGACAAGCAGTATTAATTCATTTTTCAAGGACTCAAGATACATTCGTTTAACAGTTGATTACCCTCAGTTGATTCTTTTGTTCGGATTATTTGGCGGGGAAAATGTATTATTGAAAATGTATTAGTGAATGTATTATTATTCTTATTTGTTCATCGTCTCTACGATGCCCTTTGAATCAAAAACAGATTTTAGTGTTAGGCTTCCTGAAAGAAATTTCAATTGTTGTTAAGAGTTTTTTGGTTGCACTCTGTAGATTATGATGATGTGTTGATCTTTTTTTCAATACAAGATCAAACACATGAAGAAAATCTACTGGCTGCATGCCAATAAGTTCTTGACAACAATAACAAAATGTGAGCTAGTGCTATTCGGTGTGGCGTACACTTGGCAATCACATGGTAGATAAAATTATGATCATCAGTACCGGGTCAAATAAATTAAAGAGAACTGAATTTGAACCCGGGCCATAGGCTAACCCCTCTCGTTCTCTCTCCCTCTCTCTCCCTCTTCGTCGCCTTACTTTTCCCTCTCTTACCTCCCTGTGCATTTGTATGCCTCGATAATACAAAAAAATAAACAATAAGATTCTTCCTCTTCCCCTCCTTCTTCCTAGTACATGTAGTAGGAGTAGTACTAGAAGCAGTATCACAATAATAATGACAACAATGATTATTATGGTTGGTGGTGTTACTAATGTTATTTTTGTAATTATTATGTTTGTTATTGTGATTATTATCCTTATCATGATTATTATCGTTAATATAAGTTATTATTGTAATTATTATAATCATTATTATTGTTATCTTTATGATGAATATGAACGTGATGATTTTGATGACGATTAGTATAAGTATATAGTATTATTATAATTGTTATCATATCATTATTATCATCTGTATTATCAGCATAATCTACAACGGCAGTAGTGTAGTATAGTACATGAAGAAATAGGCCTAAAAGTAGAGGTATCATTCTGATCATTATTATTCTGATTATCTTTTGCAATACATCTAGACGATAAACTCATGACAATTGACAACTGTCATGAATCATTGTCTTTAAGCTTACCATTAAATGCATCTGGTTCGAATTTTGCTCAGGTATTTGGTACTGGATGATTTAAATGATAGAAATTAACTTGTGTCCTATTCATTCTAGTCTTATTCATTTGCATTATGTTTTATTCATTCAAGTTCTAATGTTTCTGACTGTTTTAAGACAATATCTTTTGTGTCGATCATAGTTCTATGTAGCTTGATATCTCACGGTAATTTTGAGAGAAAAGCAATGCAAGCAATGATTTCTGAATTGTAGCGACAATCGCGTTCGCCTTTGCTGTTCTTCAATAATATTTGACAAGCAGTATTAATTAATTTTTTTAAGGACTCATGATACATTCGTTTAACAGTTAATTACCCTCGGTTGATTCTTTTGTTCGGATTCTTTGGCGGGGAAAATGTATTATTGAAAATGTATTAGTGAATGTATTATTATTCTTATTTGTTCATCGTCTCTACGATGCCCTTTGAATCAAAAACAGATTTTAGTGTTAGGCTTCCTGAAAGAAATTTCAATTGTTGTTAAGAATTTTTTGGTTGCACTCTGTAGATTATGATGATGTGTTTGATTTTTTTTTCGATACAAGATCAAACACATGAAGAAAATCTACTGGCTGCATGCCAATAAGTTCTTGACAACAATAACAAAATGTGAGCTAGTGCTATTCGGTGTGGCGTACACTTGGCAATCACATGGTAGATAAAATTATGATCATCAGTACTGGGTCAAATAAATTAAAGAGAACTGAATTTGAACCCGGGCCATAGGCTACCCCCTCTCGTTCTCTCTCCCTCTCTCTCCCTCTTCGTCGCCTTACTTTTCCCTCTCTTACCTCCCTGTGCATTTGTATGCCTCGATAATACAAAAAATAAACAATAAGATTCTTCCTCTTCCCCTCCTTCTTCCTAGTACATGTAGTAGGAGTAGTACTAGAAGCAGTATCACAATAATAATGACAACAATGGTTATTATGGTTGGTGGTGTTACTAATGTTATTTTTGTAATTATTATGTTTGTTATTGTGATTATTATCCTTATCATGATTATTATCGTTAATATAAGTTATTATTGTAATTATTATAATCATTATTATTGTTATCTTTATGATGAATACGAACGTGATGATTTTGATGACGATTAGTATAAGTATATAGTATTATTATAATTGTATGGGACATGACTTTTTTCAAAACTGGATTCTACATTCCCGTCTTTCGCGAGCAATATCTCTGTCGTATTAGCTTCGTTTACGCTGAAATTCGAGTATGTTGTAGCTGAGACAATAAGCTATCTTAAATTTGCCCTTTATTTTGTCTCAAATTTTAGTTAGACCAGCCCACCTATTCTTGTTCAAAACAAGTATTACAAATCTAGTTATTATTATTGTCATCAACATTCATTCATTTCATTTCATCTACATTATTTCATGAAATGCATTCAGAAAATGAAGAAAAAAAAAACGAAAATAACCCGTGAAAAAAAAATATTGTCGGCGAAGCATTTGTCGTAGTACTAGTAGCATTTGTATTTTATGGGACACTTTTTGGGCGGAACAATTGTCGGCGGAGCAAATGTCACCGGAGCAAGTGTCGCTTCAGGCGGAGCAAATGTCGGCGGAGCAACTGTTGGCGGAGCAATTGTCGGCGGAGCAATTGTCGCGTTTTGCGGAGCAATTGTCGCGTTTTGCGGAGCAATTGTCGGCGGAGCAATTGTCAGCGGAGCAAATGTCTAGAGTAGACCCAACGTGGTGATCCATAAATTCCTAATTATACATCTGAAATAATATATGGTCTAGATCTAGATCTAGATCTAATTGTTAATATAATAATAAAAATCTAGCCCAACACATTTTACAATATAAAATAATAACATCAAAAATCTTTGCAGCTAGGCTGTCTACATCATTCATTGGTGTGATACTTTTGTGTGTTAGTGGTACCAGACATGATTAGCATTTAATGCTATTTTGTGGTCCCATTTATCCTTCAATGTTAAACATTCACATTTAATTGTTATATTGATGTACTTTTTGTTTGGATAATAAAACTCAAACTCAAACTCAAACTCAATTTCTCTCTCCCTCTCTCTCTCTCTCTCCATCTCTCTCTCTTTCTTTCTCTCTCTCTCTTTCTTTCTCTCTCTCTCTCTCTCTCTCTCTCTCTCTCCCTCCCTCTCTCTCTCTCTCTGTCTCTCTCTCCTTGCATGATTATCATGTTTTTGTGGGAATTTTTGATCATTTCACAGTATGAGAACATCATGGAAATCATGGACGAGGCGAGATTAGCATCCTTAGAGGATCTGTGCCTTGATCAGGTTGTACATTTTATCCCTATCCTTGGGAATGAATTACAAGGTAAATATATCTCTTCTTCTGTGCATGGTCTAGTACTCTAGTTAATATTCACTATGAACATGAGTTGACGGACAAAGAAAGAGGACAAAATATACAGTTCCTCATTTTACCCTCAACAATTGCTGTGGTAGACAAAGGCACATCCCTTCACTGCTATTACCGGTATGTAAACATGTGTAGAACAGGTGTCACATGCATATTCACCTGTTCTACTTATTTTACATAATAGCAGTGAAGGGATGTTCCTTTGTCTACCACAGCAATTGTTTAGGGTAGAATGAGGTACTGTGTATTTTGTCCTCTTTCTTTTTCCGTCATGTTCATAGTGATTATTCCTAGTTTCTCTTTTCACACATGCCCAGCTCCATTGGTTGTTGTTTGATATAATAATAATAATAGCTCACATTTATAATGCGCCTAATACTACGTTTCTAGGCGCGGAACATATTGAAGATATGAAGTGTAACGTTGATCTTGTTTCTCGCCTCAATTAAATTTTTATTGTTTCACAATCAAAAAGGTTGTTTTACTTGTGACTGAGACTTTCAGCTTCTCAGATGAACCTATTCAAAGATTGTTTCTAACCTCTTTGGTGCATCCATAGACAGATGCAATTCCCTATTTGAGAGTAATGTGGCCATATAATTATGAAGGCTAGAAACAAATATTGAAATTTATTCATGAGAATCTAGAAATTATATTTATATGTCCTTTCAACATTTTTTATTGAAAATATATATGATATAGAAATTCAATGTGGGTTTAAATACTAGAAAAATACACCTTTTCTTCTATTTCATAATTAATAATACCAAAATATTTCTATAATTATATATAAATACATTTGTTTCAGATCATTGTCATGTATGAATTTACACTGTAGTATATTTTGTTGCTACTTTGATGTCTTATATCCTGTCCCCAGCTCGATGGAATGACCTGTATCTTCATTATGTTATTGTTCTTATACTTGTTTCACCTTTTTTACTCCATAGGTCTCTCTCATGCCCTGTTTAAATGTCTGCTTCCTCTATGTGATGACTATAGGCTTGCTCTCCTCCATAACATAGCAGTCAGTAAAGGTAACATCAAACAACATATCTATCCTCCATTAGACATCTTTTTACATGTTTGTCAAAAAGTTGTGATTTCCCTGGCCAAGTGGCATCTGTTTGTGTTTAGTGTTTCAAGCTGCTTGGAGGTTTTGGAAACTAAATTACTCTCTACTTCATTGCATCTACAAGCTGAAAAAAACCCACACTGCCACTATGAACATGACGGACAAAGAAAGAGGCCAAAATATACAGTTCCTCATTCTACCCTCAACAATTGCTGTGGTAGACAAAGGAACATCCCTTCACTGCTATTATGTAAAAATGTGTAGAACAGGTGAATATGCATGTGACACCTGTTCTACACATTTGTACATAATAGCAGTGAAGGGATGTTCCTTTGTCTACCACAGCAATTGTTGAGGGTAAAATGAGGAACTGTATATTTTGTCCTCTTCCTCTGTCCGTCATGTTCATAGTGTGTACATGTCAGAGATAAAACTTCTGATAATAGTGCATACCGGTAGTCCAAATTGTGAATAAATCAATCAAAATCATTTGGTCAAAGGTCATGGGGCTGATTATACATTCAAAAATTGCTTGTAATCGCATTATCATTAGAACCGACAGATGGATTACTATCAAACTCAGGACATGTATCTATCTTGCAGAGCCATGTATATGAAAAATAGCTTGTAATCTCGATATTCTGAGAACCTGTTAATGGATTACAATCAAGCTTGAATTTAAAAAATTGCTTCTGTTTTGGTTTGTATAATTGCTCTGTGGCAGAGGCATCACTTTCGCCTGCGAGCAGTCGAAGATCCATCTAGTTCAGAATGCTTTGCGTCAAACATGTTTAGGCCTCTTTTTCAAGCTCATTGGGGAAAAATAACTGAAGTCCCTGAAATATAAATGTAGGCTCTCTTCTGATGTAAACTTCTACAAGTAATAACGGTACACATCCATAAATAAATAAGACAATAAATGAATTCCTGCCAGCATGTGACTTTTTGTCATACTGTATGTTCTTTTTGTTTATTTCTTTGTTTGTTTGTTTTTTTCCATCCAAAACTGAATTATGTTGAATTCACAATTCTTGTTTCAGACATTTGATCATGTCATTTTCTTTTATCTTCTAAATTTCTCTTTCCTGTTAACGTTTCATTGTTTCTTGTAGGTCTTGACATCCAAACAATGTGGCGGGATCGATGCAGAGCTCGATTTCTTTGGTTTTACCGTCACAAATTCAAGTCAAACCTTCATGATTCATTCTGGCAGTGTCATGCGTGTTTATCTACAACCCTAAATGACCCTCATTCACAGGACGTTGACTGGTATCAGACGTATATGGATAAGATTTGTGAAGAGAATTTAGAAAAAATACGCACAGAGACAATCGAGCAAGGCAGGGAAATCCCAAGAACAAGCGTAGATGAAGGTAAACTCTTCATGAATAAAGAGAGATTTTATTTCTGTGAACTTTAGTTTAGATGCTGCTTGTAAGTGTCGGCTTGCATGGTGATGTAGATATACAGTAGGCTTGCGGTTGCACCATGTGAGAGAGAGAGAGAGAGAGAGGATTGAGGAGATTACCGAGAGTCCTTTTCAGGACTCCTCAATCCTCTCTCTCTCTCTCTCTCTCTCTCTCACATGGTGCACCTGCAAGCCTACTGTACAACTTTAGTTTAGTTGCTGAATGAATAATCTCTCCTGTTATATTGAATTTATTGTCATTTCAACTAAATGCATCTATGTATTTGATTTGTAAATTACTGTGAAAAAGAGCCAGGGTGGAGATAGAAAAGGGTAATCATACTCATTACTGAAGAATTGTAAAAAAATAAATCTATGACATTGGAAAATTCCTAACATTTCTTTTGCTCTTTTCCATTTCTTTTTAGAACTTGAATTGCTTTTAATAAGTCCAATATTATTTTGCCATTCCTGAAAGTACCTGTACATACAATTAATCTTTGCTAATCTGTCTTTCATTGTGTGATAGAAACTAAAGCCATCTTGAAGTATCCCTTCTGGAGAGATTCTGAAGACATCATTCAATACAAGCCCCATCAGCTACTCTTGAACATCAAGACAGTGATAGCTTTAACCAGATCCCCCAGTGCACTTAGCCTACTGGCGCACCATCTACATACCCTCATGTGCAGGGTTCAAATCCCCACCAAGTACAGGGAACTTGCTACATCAGCCTTGGAGAGGTTCTTGAGAGCTCTACTTGCCAGGGGGAATCTGGAGACCATGTATCTCAAGGAACAGCAGATCATGCGTGGTGAATCTGTAGACTATGCCTGCTTGCTGGCCATGCTGCTGCTGGGAATAGCGAATGATGAAAGGAAGAACAACGAGAATGCAGAGCAGACTGTTGGTATGCTTGAAGAAGAAAACTCATTAGAAAGTCAGGAGACAGCTCTAACCAACAGTCCGCAGAGAACCGATGATTTCAGTGAAGACCTGTACGACTTCTGCTTCAAGGAACCGGTGAAGACGGACTTCTACAGTGCAATGGTGGACACTGATGCAGACCCTGACGCTGACTCTGCCCAAGCATGTATCCCAGTGGCAGGGAATGTTTATGATATGTTCTGTGAGGAAGGGGCAGCAGGAGAGGAAAGCATGAACTGCGTGATGACATCCAATGCCATGCCTGAAGACCTCTGGAGGGATGAGTGCTGTCACTATGTGGATCCAGGTTTGTTCAGTTAATCGTTTGATGATATGGTGATAGTTTGGTGTGTTGGGATCCTGTTCCAAATATATTTTTCCTGTAATCTATTGAATAGGACCTTTGAGTCAAAGTGGTTACATTTCTTAAAGCCCCACTGCACTACTTATAGCCTAAGCGGTACCCGTTGATCTCCCATGATGCCCTTTTTCTTATGTTAATTGAGAGCCGATTTGATGAGATAACCACATGCCAGTGACCTTGCAGGGAGGTCTAATCCCTCCTTGCCAAACGAGTGCAGTAAAGAAAGATGTAAAAATCCTTTCCCATTCATTTGATTCTGTTTCATCTATGATCTCGCAGTAGCATACATTTATCATGTATGCCTTTAATAGCAGACAGAGCTCATAAATTGGACAAGTGAATTGTCAGAAACTCTGGAGGAAAAGGTTAAAGAACTGCATTTGTCTTGCATTCAAGTATAATAAAATATTGTGGTTTTTAGGATATAGGACCACTTCTCATCTAGCATTTGTTCCTTGACTTTTTGTGTAGAAATCACATATTTCCAGCACATCTTGAATGTACCTGGTCCTGGACCATCTCTAGGCCACTCCATCTCCAACCTAGCCCTGGTCTATGTTAGACTGAATGCTGAGAGCTGTACTGCTCTGGCTGACTGTGTAGTCAGATCCACATCCTTACAGTCATTGGCTTTGATACAGTGTGGTAGGTAGGTCTACTCTGAACCTTTGATTTTTGCATGTGTGTTCATCTGTTCTATGGATAGCTTTATGTTTCAAATAGTTACTTGTTCTTTGGTGTTACTTTATTGTTCAGAGTGAATGTTAGTTTACATTGGCAGGACATTACTTAGTTTCATGGTATATCTAAAGGATCATTCAGAACCGCGACAATGACAAAGGCCACGTTTATTTTTTATGTGTACGGTAAATGTATGGTAGCTACGCACAACAAATTTCTTACGCTTATTCACTGACCTCTAGGTTATAAGATACAGAAATATGAATCTTATTGCACTTTATGTCATACCAACAAAAAAAATATTAAAGTTTAATTCATTCAATTGTACTCAATAAACCTGTATGATAAGTAATCCAATGTTATACCACAATGCATCTCTTTATCTCGTAGATATACAGTATGTACAGTCAAACCTGCTTTAGTGACCGAGGTCGTGGGTTTGAACCCCGGCCGCGTCATACCAAAAGACGTTAAAAGATGGGAGTTGTTGCTACCTTGTTTGGCGTTCAATAATAAGGGATAGAGCAACGTTGATCTGGCGCTGCTCAGTGGCTGCCGGGCTCACGATCAATTGGGCAAAAAGAATTTCCGTTTCGGTGTAATAAAATTTGGAGTGGACTATTAGGCTATTATTATAGATTATTATTATTATTATTATTTTTATTATTATTATTACCTGTCTACAAAGACCACCTGTCTACAAGGACCACATTGTTGTTTCCCTTGAAAATGGGTTCTCATTGAAACATGTACTAAAGGAACCTGTCTACTAAGACCACTTTTGTGTTTCCCTTGGACGGTCGCTGTAGACAGGTTTGACTGTCTTTGGAAGATTTGCTAACTTCACCCTTTTTTCTCTGTTCCTTCTTGACAGTGATGCCAGCCTGTGGTTGGTGTGAGGTCATGTCTGGGCTTGCCTTGAGGGCACAGAAGGGACTAGTACTTCAAGAACTGGCTCTAACATTTAGCCAAACTTACAGAACCACACCCAAGTCTATGTTTGGCCAGTACTGCGCACACAAACTCAATGAGATGCTGGAGGCTTATCACATGTAAGAATGCCCTCTTGTCTTCCAACTGTCATGATTTGTGTCTTTTGTAATACCATGGTCAGGATTCATTAAGGAGGTTAAATTCAATCTGTGATATATATCTTGGTCTAAACCACTATGGACTTCTGATAAGACATTCTGGGAAACTGGTCTAGCATGATAATTGCTAAATTGTGAACATCACGTTTAAAAGCAACCTCATTTTCTCACAAAATATTTTGTTGTTGTTCACAGACGAAATCACAAGATGAAGAGTCTGAAGTTGGAGCTCCTTCTAAGCCATAAATGCCAAGCTGCTGAAAACTGTAAGTAAATATAGGATGGACCATGACAGGTGAAACCTTTTTAATATATAATTAATGGTCTTCAATTGTAGTTACCAGTAACCCATGAATTATGGTTTTAGGCATCCGCAACAAAGTAGCCTGAGACATAATCATGCTTTCGCAGTCAAAGATCCATCTAGTTTGTGAATGGGATGTGTTAGAAAGTTCATTAAAAAGGTATAACTCAATAGTTATTGGGTTGAAGGTGCTGGCTGGAATGCTCTGTAGGGAATGGAGAATGTGCATTCATTGTGTTCTTGCATGCCTGAAACCGATGAGCAGGGTAATAAAATATCTGAAAAGACATCATAGATGTATTCAGCACTAAATAAACCCAGAATATTATTATTATTATCATTAAGGGTACTTTCCCCTTCCTAAAATGCACAAAATAAATCAGACTTCCATTATGAACAACATGCCGTCAGGTTTCTTGATATAGAGCCAGTGCTTGTCTTGCATTATGATAGTAATGCATCTGTAGAGTTCAGTTCCATCATGTACATGTACTTTTATCCTTTAAATTTTCCTCCTTTTCTTCATTAAATAAACAAATTTGTGTTTTTGTGTATGGGTTTTTTCTTTTCTTCTTTCTCTTTTACATTATATGTTCATCTCTTAATTTGTTAGCTTGATATTGGATTTACATTCATGTACTATTCAATATGTTTATTTTTTCCAGCATATCTCCCCAAGTACCTTCCCAGCACATCTTGCCTGACACTGAACTGCTGGGGTCGACCTTTGACCTTGGACCACTCCAACTCTCATCCTCTCCACCAGTTAGTCTCACCTGCAGACCTTGCCTCTGCCATTCAAAGCAGGGATTCAGCCCTCACTGACCTCCTACTGGAGAACTCCTCACTTGACACTGTGGAGGTGGATACTCTGTTAGCTGCTGCAGCAAGTAAGCTAGAATTCACATTATACCCTCCCCCCCCCCCCACCCTAGTTAAATAATTCTAAAGAGATGATTGTGTTGCATTGTGTTCAGTAAGAATTTTTGTCCGGAATCATCATGCGACTATGTGTGTGTGTTTATTTCTGATTTGCATTTTCTTACTAAGGATTTGGTTGGTTGCATTTTTTAATCTAAAGTAGTATTCATCTTCAAATTTATTTACATTTACTTTTGACTTCTTTTTGTCATTACTTGTGATTTCAATTTATACAAGTCACTCATCTGGCAAAACTATTTATATTAGACAATAGTTAGACAGTTGGGAAGTAAATTTAAAGCAGTTGTTTCACTTTCTAGGGAAAATGTTTTGTGGGAGAATGATATGTTGGCCTGTTCTTTGTTTAGACTCTCCTATGTAAATGAATGATAATATGCTTGTCTGTTCTTTACTTTGTTTAGACTCTCCTATGCTGAAGAGGTTGAGCGTGAGGAGGAACAGGTATTCCACATCTCAACCAAAGGGCCTCCTAGCCTTACTTCAACACTCCGGAATACGATCTCTTGATTTATGTCAATGCAAGTTTTCGATTAAAGGTAAAGATTGTTATCAACCTGTACAAAACTCTACTTGTTTCGTTTCTTCACTGTGATGTAAATTGATAATACAAAAGAATCAACTTAAAGCTAATCTTGGGCTCTGGTTTGGGAATTGTATTTTGAGAGAAAATTGCTATGATATATCCTGGGTTGTTTATCCTACAGTAGATTGGTTGTTTGAACCAGTGAAATAAAAGGCACAAAAACTTACTGGGCATCATCTTTGATAAAAACCACAAATCCCATTTGCACATAGTGATCTGTGTTATTAAGCACATGGTTTCTGGCCTACTTACAAGGATTTCCTTATCTTTCTATGCTCGTTACTGAGCCACTATACATTTTCTACCAAAATGTTTTTCCTTGCAGAGGGTGACACAGAATTTCAGGATGGTCTAGTGGATGCACTGATTAACAACTGTAGTCTTCAACACCTCAATCTCTCAGATCGTGTACTAGGTTAGTATTATATGTACATGTTAGCTGTTTCTCATCCGTACATTACAATTCAACTCTAATTTTATAATAATAATAATAACAACATTTATAATGTGCACATATTCACCCCAAGGGATGCTCAAGGCGCCTTACAAAATTTGGAAATTATTACCCAGCTTTAGCTGTGCTGCCATTACGGCGCTCTAGCATTTCAAGAAATTACTTTCTGCCAGGTACCCATTTACATCACCTGGGTTGAGTGTGGCAAATATAGATCAATGTCTTGCCAAAGTACATTAGTGCCGCCGCGGGACTCGAACTACAGATCTTGTGATCAACAGTCCAGTGACATATCCACTCGACCACAACACCTCTACAGTTCAAACATCACCCCCAAAATGTACATAAAATACTTTTAAGGGATTATGATTAATTCTAAAAAGACTGATAGGTGCTTGATTGTCCATCATTCCTGAGCTGAGATCTAGTGGGAGGGGGAGGGGAGCTATCAATGATCACCCCTTCCCCTTTCATCTTTTAATTTTGGAAAGAGCCCAGTTGTCTGTTTAAAGAGCACAATAGCAAAATGTGTTTACATAAAGGCCTGCATGGGATTCAGCAAGTTGCATTAACTTGTCACTTTATCTCTTTACAAATTAAAGTAATATTTGAAGTTGATAGAAGGAAGATAAGATACATGTAGATGGAGTTTTATAATGTACCATTGATAGTTAGATAATAGTGATTTGACATTTACATTTTAGACAGAAACTGTATTCTACTAATTCATTTAACCCCGACCTTGGGTCTAAGATCAGGTTTAAGAATGGGAAACATGGACCTCAGCTTAGACCAACTTCTTTTCTTAAACTGGTTTTCAAACTATAGCTTAAGCCAAGCATTTGGTTTGAATTTTAGTTGAATAAAAGCTGTAGGGTTAGAGCTTTGATTGCATGTGGGTTGCAGATTGTATTTACCAAAAGGGTAAGGGTCAAGGTGAGATATATTGTGGGTCCAGGGTTGAAGTTAGAGATTTTAAGAAATATTAGAAGTTAAAAGGAAAGAGGTTCATGCCATCGCCTCCAGACAGTTGACTGTGGAGCAATGGTCATGTGATCATGTGTTGTACAGTCTCAGCAACAAACAGGCCATTGTGATGAAGTTAGGTTTAGAAGAGCTATGGTTTTTGTTGTTGTTTTGTTTTGAGTGTGTGTGTCGGTTTTGTTTTATCAACTCCTCTTCTCTTCCTTCTGAAAATGCCCAAAATTCCAAAAATATTCAGAACATGGCCTTGCGAGACATGCAGGATCGTGCTCTATATCTGTGAAGTGTGTAGTAAAGTCATGTAACAATTCTTGTTTAAATTTTTCTGTAGATGATGAAGATCTGGCCATTCTAAGCAGAGCATTTGCTGTCTCAAAGCGCCCAAAGCAACAGCCTGGATACTGCCTTAATATCTGGTAAGAGGACTATCATCAAATACCCATCTCTGCTAAATCTTCTTGAACGTTCCAAATCTAAAGTCTTCTTACAGTACACCCTTGCCTTTACTTCAGTTTAATGTCTTCAACACTTTTTCATATCTTGTTAAATATCACTAGCTGGAATGTGCAATAATGTTCTTTGGTAGTGTAATAATAATAATAATAATAATAATACTCGGTTTTTATATAGCGCTTATTACAATCACTAAGCGCTTCCAAACTTGGATAGTAGTAGTTGTTCTAAACAAAAACTGTGTGGTCATACCATTTATAAAATAATAAATGATTGTACTGGTTATGGTGAATGCCTCTCGGCTCTAATAATAATAATAATAATAAATATTCATCACTGAGTACAACAAAATGGTCATTCTCCCTGGTATAACCTTTCTTCTGTTTTCTTTCTATTTTGTTCCAAACAGTCTTTCTCCCTTTTCATCGAGGGCCCTTATGCAATTTGGTGAGATGCTTTCCAAGGATGTTGATGGTTGTCGTAGTAACAAGAGAGTACATTCCCTGGATCATTTGAGTCTTGACTGGAGATGTGTTAACATGATACGGACATTGAAGACCATTATTCCTCGTGTGACGTGTCCTCACAGATTGTCCTGAAGCCATGCCAAGGTTGGACAATCATCCTTGAGGTCGCATGCCCCAGTGTCTTTCATCGTTGGAATGGATGCCTGCGAGGCTGTATGATAGTGGTGATTATTTTACCTGACAGCTAAGAAAGTAATAAATGCGTGTTAGTAAGCAACCAGAACACCGACAGCATTAGGTCTTCTCCAAGGGACCTGGTAATGAGGATTAATGCCTTACCAAAGGGCACTAGCGCATCGTCTTGGTTTCGAACCTTAGTCACCAGATTACGAGACCACTGCTCTACCGACTGAGCTATCGCGCCTCTTGACATCACAGATCTTTCCTGTAGGCATTGTGCTCATAGATATGATGACAACTCTAATGTTACCTGGAGGGTGTTTCACAAAGCCTTTTTTCAATCACAAATGACAAATATTAGTGACAAATCTGCTGATAACCAATCAGAAGCAAGGATTTCAGTAGCTTAAAACAAAAACTGTCATTTGCCACTGATGACAAGTTTTGTGAAACGGGACCCAGGTTGGCCGATCATCCCTCAAGTCACATGACCCGGTGTCTTTCATTCCAGGAATGCCAACCCTGCATGATGATGTCAAAGACGATCATTTTATATCTGATGTATTCTCAAAGACTCAATTTTAATGTGATGGCTTATTTTTAAGGTACAGTTGAGTTATGGTTATGCGATTGCATTGTGTAAGAAAAGGTGTGGAATGGATCAGAAAAAGTTGATCATGTAGCATTTTAGTATTGGTGTGTACTGCAAGGTTCTGGAGTCATCAAAATCATAATAAATTTGGCCCAGTATTGGTAAAGTAAGGGATTCAAAATATATAGTCATATCAAGACTTGAATGGAATTGCATTTTATTTTACTTCTGTGTGTATGCATGCATGTCATCTAAGTCTTACAAGATACAAGATACAAGATATTCTATTTGGTTTTTGCAAACAAGTTACATAGAAATTTGGTTTCCACTGGCATTACAGTAATATTCAAGAAAATATATAATTACAAGAAATAGATAAAGTAAGGAACAAATACATGCAAAAGATAATGAAGCGACAAAAATGGTCATTGGTACTTCAAATCATGAGTTTCAAAATTAGGTTTTACCTATATTAAATGTATTCAGTGTTTATGTAAACTTACCATAAATGTAATTCTTTGCAGAGTAATATTTGGAGATGATATCGTGATTTATTTATTATACTAGGCTAGCATGGAACCCCTTATTTTCCAGAGCAGAATGTATCTTAAAGTTCAGTCAAACCTGGGGGGTGTTTCATAAAGCTGTACGTAAAGTTATGAATGACTTTACAAATGATTTGAATACGAAGAACCAAATGGGATGCCCAAGTTTTTCCTGACATTTTAACAAAGTGCGACTGTATTTCCCATAGTTTCAATTAAATTGTAGCCAAAAATACAATTTGCATTAAAAATTGTTGTTAATAATGATAAAGTTAACCGCCATCAGCATATTTCAACTTTAGCTTATGCAATTAAAAGGATTTGAGAATCCCATTTAGCCCTTCATAGTGAAGTCATTCGTAAATTCAAGCGTAACTTTACGCACAGCTTTATGAAACACCCCCCTGTTGAAGGTCAACCAAGGCAAACAGAAAAGTGGTCACTGTAAAGCAAGTGGCCTCTCTAGACAGGTTCTACAACACATACATGTATTCTGTCTGGAGGGAGACACACTACATGGTCACTGTAGGCAAGTGGTCACTGTAGACAGGTTCTACAACACAAACATGTATTTCTGTCTGGAGGGAGACACACTACACGGCCATGCACTGTACACGGATGGCCTTTATAGAGAGCTTATTACTAAGATGGAATTGATTGTATGTATTTGGTAGACCTTTTATTCTGCTTTGATGCTTCCTTCCTGATAAAATACAAACATATTGAAATTATAATAATCATGTGTGGCAGAGCAGTGTTATTCATTTACAGCATGCAAATGAAGTTTTTTTTAAAATCAAATCATTCAAATATTCTTAAAGGCAATGTTTAACAATGTTAAATCTGAGATGCATGGCCCTACGTGTTATCAGTGTCTGTGATATAGTGTAATATTGAAGCCCTGAAAAAATTGCACTTCAAAATGATCGTGAAGTGCCTCAAAAAAGTAAAATCTTTGAGTGACGGGTTTTACCATACTCATTCTCCTCAACTGTAGTGTAATAAAATCCGTTAGGAAAATGAAAAATGAAATTTTGATTTCCAATCATAGATATCTTGATAATCAGACAGGCGATCGGCTCGTAAAAGTCATGGGATTCCTGACAGACCTAAAGGTTTATAATTATGATTGCAGCATGAGCTATATCCAGGATTTTGTTTCAGAATCTGAGGCAATGTTACCGAGTCACTTTAATGCCACAAAAGCTCTTTGTTCTCTAGAATTAATTTCTTCTTCTCAAAAAAGCATTGATTATTTTGTTAAGCACGTCTATAAATCATACTAAGGAAAGTGTATTGATTGTATTGGGAGTTATTTCAATTTGCAAAGAAATGTCAGCTCACACCCAGTAAGTAGACATTGCATACTTGATATTTGTTATCTGGGTTAAAGCCAAAATTTCTTTACCAGAAAAGTGTGGTTTGATGATTATTCCTTTGTAGACAATATGTGGACTGATCAAGTAAATGTGACTGTATAAATTGTAATGTTCAGTGATGTGGAATAATGAATTAATGATCATTCTAGTGTTAAAGCTCCTCTAAAGTGTTGGGAGCCCCGAAAATTTGATGGCAAAATTTCACTTAAATTGTATCATAATGTAAAAGAGGATGTCATTTAAGACACATTTCTGCAAAGATTTTCAAAACAAATGTGTTTGTAGTCAAATATTGATGAAAGAATACACAATTTAGGTTTTTTGTGTACAACAGAAAACCCAAATTATGTATTCTTTTATCAATATTGGTCTTCAAACACATTTTTTTTTTAGGGGGGTGGGGGATCTTTGCAGAAGGTCCGTCTTAAATGACATGCTCTTTCACATTATGATACAATTTAAGTGGAATTTTGCCATCAAATATTTGACGAATTTAAGGCTACCAGCACTTTAGAGGGGCTTTAAAGACAGAACAAAATAAGAGTGAATAATGTCCCCCAAAAGTTTACCAATTAGGAGCATTCCTAAGAGATATGTTAGCAGTAGTAGTATCCTCATTATCATTACCATTATCGTCATTGCTAGAATTATTAGATCATTATTGATATAAAATTTGTCAATGTGGCTTGACAAGAATGTGAGATCTTTAGAAAAATACATAAAAACATGCATATATGAACTATAATTTGTAGTTTCTCAGTCGTTTTCTTTACTGGCTTCTTCGCTTTCTTGGGGGCTGCCTTGGCTTCTATTGGTAAATCAATAATGATAAATCAAAATCGATTTTAGCAACTGTCCACCAAAAAAAGTATATTCTAATCTCAATTGCATTAACTTCATCACATAGATCACTTGAAGTGAGTTTAAGAAAAGTTGATTCGTGCGGATTTATGTTTGTTGAGAATGTGAGACGGATATTGAAGCTAACATCTTAAACTTGGTTCAATTGTCCCATGCAGGGTGCGGGAACAATATTGTGTTTAGGGTGATTTTATACCCATTTTAGCTAGCGAGCGAAAATACATCTTTCTCTCAATGAGTTGCTACATAAAATTTGTTTCATTGTTGCAGGTCGGGGGCGGGCACAATCGTGTTTAAGGCAATGTCAATCCCATTTTGGCGGGCAGGCAACCCCCTACATATCTCTTTTTAATGATGTTGTAGCAGGTTAGTGGTGGGCACATAATTCCACGAGCTAGCGAGCGAAAAAAATCACTTCTCTTTTATAGGGAAAATATGGTACATAAAAGTTGGGTTCATTGTTCCATGTCAGGGACGTGATTATTAAAAGCGGTGTTATTTCTATTTTGGCGAGCGAGCGAGCAAAAAAAATCACTTCTCTTTTATAGGGAAATAACTTGGGTTCATTGTTCCGTGTCAGGGACATGATAATTAAAAGCGGTGTTATTTCTATTTTGGCGAGCGAGCGTAGCGAGCGAGCAAAATTTTTGTAATGATAATTGGTTCATAAATTTCAGATTTTTTTGTTGCAGGCAGGGCTTACACAATCATGTCTAAGGTGATGTTAATTTCGTTTGGCGAGCACGAGCACACCAAAACTTCTTTGAATAACATTTTGGTACATAATTATTAACTGGTTGTTGCAGGTTGGGGCGGGCACGTTAGCGGTGTCAATTCCATTTTGGTGAGCGAGCATAGCGAGCAAGCAAGGAGGGGGGAGGGGGGAGGGGGGGGGGGGGTAAGCAGACATTTTTTTATTTTTTTTTTGGTCTCGAAATTTGAAAATTTGACTTCATGTTCGGTTGGGGGGGGGGGGTAAGGTCACAGCCATTGGCATATTTTTTTTTTTTTTTTTTTTTTTTATGAAAAAAAAAGAAGGAAGGGGGGGGGGGTTTTCCCAAAAAGCATAAAAAACTTAAGGGGGGGTTTAACCCCAACCCCCCCCCCCCCCCTGCGTACGCGCCTGAGGCCTACACTACATTTTCAGGAAAAAACTGTACGTTTTCAAAATATCTGGGGTCAACTGCCCCCCCCCCCCCCCCCGGTGCGTACGGCCATGGCCTTTTTCTTTTAATTTCCCCATTTTTTTCCTTTCCTTTTCTTTTCCCTTTTTCTTCCTTTTCTCTTCTTCCCTTTTTCTTTCCTTTTCCTTTTTTCCTTTTTTCTCTTTCTTTCCTTTTTTTCTTCCCTTTTCCTTTTTTCTTTTTCTTTCCTTTCCTTTCTTTTCTTTTCTTTCCCCTTTTTCATTTTTTTTCCCCTGGAGCCCGTCAGGGGGGACACTCTGCCCCCCTGCCCCCCCCCCCATAGGTACGCCAGTGCTACCGATCCTACCCAAATCAGAGGCTAACGAGAGACCGACATTTTCGGTATATTGCCAGACAAGAACAGAAACCCGACGCATATTAGGCTAGCTTGCCGATGACTTTTCATAGCTTTTGTCATTTGAAGATACCATATGAGCTAAAACTAAAAGTTAAACAAGGGATCACATAGTTTCAAGTACTTTTGCAGATTATAGGTAAGCCAACCTTGGAGAAAAAAAGTTCTGCTCAAGCTGTCATACTTATGAATATATTTCCAAAGTCAGTCAACATAATTTCACGTATGCGACGGAGCTCTAGCTCCCTGGAGTTAGTATTCTCGAGCTCTGG